CCGGTGTATGTGGCTGGCGTCCTAACCACTGAGCTATGGGCACCGCCCCCCTAGTGTAGTAATTCTTAATTGCCACAGTCATTCATGCTTCCTATATTTGACAGCATTTTAGCAGTCTGTGGTAAGCTTGTGATCTACTAAAACTAATTTTGTAAAATCTTTATCTATGCAATTATTTTTGTGGAATATAGATAGAAAAATTCTAGCCCTGTTGTTAGTTTTGATTCATTGTTTCAGCTCTTCAAGTTTGCTTTGTTTTTAAACTATGTATTAGGATTCTTTGATTTCAAATCACAAAAATCAGCTCCATCTGTCTTAATTCAAGAAATGTATTGGGTCAGGCAACACTGAGAAGCAAAGTGCTCGGGCTTAGTGGGACCCAAGTTCAGATGACCCACTGGCACTCCCTCTCCATTTCTTAATCCACTGCCTCCAGTGGGTTTTTCCCTTGGCAGGGTCTCTTTAAATGGAGAGAAAAATGACCACCAACAGCTTCAGATTTAAACAACCACTACCTACTCCCAGAAAGAAAGGCCCAATTTCTAACACACCAGCACATGTCCAGGACTGGTCCTCATGGGCCTGGCTGTAGTCCTGAGATCATTCCCTTAACCACCCACCTTGGCCATGAATATGGAATATATTGACCAAAAAGGACAAGGACCCCTGGACAGCCATGAACACCAATATCTACTGCACTGTCCTAGAATGTCAAAAGTGAAAGAGAGGCCAGACTCGCCTTTTCCAGAAGAATGAAGGAGAGGCTTGAGATAATACAAATGCCCCATAGGTGGCCCAATCCTGAGCCTCCGGGTTCCTGGAGCCACCATTCCTTCTGGGGAGAAGGAGGACTGGGACACCTACTCAAGGAGGTGGAGTCCCATGGGCTGGTTGGGGTCCCAGCCCCCACCCTGGCTGAGCATCACCGCAGACGCACAGAGTTCATCCTTGGTGTCAGCTGGAGAATGCAGGAGCCGGGGGGAGGCACCCAAGCTCCCCAGCATGCTGGTGGGTGGTGTCTGTCCCCAGCAGGGGTCCCACAGCCCAGGGCTGCAAGGTGTGTGCATGTGTGTGCGCAGTGGGTGCAGCGTGCTCTGCGAGGGGCTGCAGGTGACTGCTTTATGACGTCCCCAACAGCATAGACCTGGAGCTTTCCCTAGCAGAAACCATCTAGTGCTCACTGGAAACAAGGGGACAGTCTTTAGAAAGACAGTCTTGTGCTCAGCCTCAGCTCCCCAAGTTCCTGTCACTGCATCGGCATTCAGTAGGGGGCTCCCTCCAGAGGACCCACAGTGCAGTCTCCCAGGGCCACGGTCATCTTCCCAGATCACAGCTTGTTGGTTTTGTACTGAAGTACAAGAACTCCAGAAAAGGGCATGGATTCTGAGTGTCAGCAAGCCTGACACCACCCACATGGCCAAGTAACACCACCCGTCCTCAGTCTCAGGAGCAGACCCAGAGCACCCAAGCCTGCACACTCTCCCCTTCCCCTGCAGACAGCCCCACTCCTCCCTCTCTCCCTCCTGACCAAGGCCGGGTCCTGGCTCCTACAGGCTGAGTCTGGCTGGTTTTGAATTCCCTGCAGTGTCACTTTCTGACATCTGACTTTTCTCATCTATTTCTTCTAACCACTACTTTCTTCTTATTAAACTGCCACTCTGGGTGGTCTTTCAGCATCTTTCAGGTACAACCAATGTGGTCTTAGCTGCTGCCATTCCTTCCCCTTAGCAATACTGCCACAGCCTGGGGAAACCCTCGGTGTGAATCAGCCTGGAGTTAGAGCACAAAAGAACCACAAACTCTTGAGCTCTACTGAGTTATGGGAAAGAGGGAGGGCCCCCAAAGATCATTGTGCTTCCCCACCCAGAGGCCTGATTCTTGGGTTCATCTCTGCTGAAACTGATTTGGACACATCTCTCTGCCCCCCGCAGCAAGGGAACATTTTCATCGTGGACTTTGAGCTGCTGGATGGCATCGATGCCAACAAGACAGACCCCTGCACGCTCCAGTTCCTGGCAGCACCCATCTGCCTGCTCTATAAGAATTTGGCCAACAAGATCGTCCCCATTGCTATCCAGGTAGGCTGCCTGTCTGGGTGGCTCAGTCCTCGTGTTAACGAACCCTCAAAGAGAATTCATGTTGCTTCCTGCACATAAGGCCGGCTACTGAGATGAGGGTTGTCAAGGAGGGAAGGATTTACTGCAGGAGATGCATGTGCTGGGCGGGACAGGCACAGTCTGTCTCAAATCAACCTCCTCATAAACAGGGGTTTTTATGGAGGTGAAAATGAATAATGCCTGGGCAGTGAACATCATTACAGTTTTGAGGTGGAGCACAGGGCATGCAAGCGCAGTGGAAACATGAACAAGAAATGATGGATAAGTCCCCCATCAATAGTGGTCATTCTCTCAGCCCTGTGCGCAGGCCCGGGGGGTCCTTGAGCACAATCTGCGGTGGGGTATCACTTATCTTGTCCTTCCTGGGTAAACAGGTGGTGTGAGGCTCTGTAGGTATCTAACGGCTATAGGGAGGTTCCACCGTTCCTGGGAAAGAAACTCAAAAGGGAATGCATCAGTGTGACAGGAAGTGACAAAGTTCTGGTCAGCAAATCTTACTGACCTGGGAACTTGAAATATAAGAGAGTTACAAACAATTATAAAAGTTTTCTTGCTTATGGAGCTGGTTGCACTCAGTGGATCACTGAGAAGTGCTACTGTTTATAAAATATTATCTTGCAAGGAATCCAATGTACTGTATTCTAATATGAAGGCAGCAGATGAGCTAATACTGGGGGAGGGGAGGGGAGGAGAATGAGCAAATGGGAGGGGGAGGAGGATGGGGGATGGGGGTCACTGTGTATGGCACACCTCTTGGGGGTGGGACACAATTATAAGAAGGACTTTGTCTAAGAAATGCAATCAGTGTAACCTAATTCTTTGTAACCTCAATGAATCCCAAACAATTAAAAAAATATATTACTTCAGACCCAGGGTGGGGCTGAGGTAGTGTCACATAATGACGTATATACACACTGCTAAAATCCTAACAGTTCTGGATTCTGAGGGACATTTAGCCACTGAGGCTTTGGACAAGGATGTATCTATTCATATAATCATCAGCACAACCCTTTGAGGTGGTGGGCAGAACTGATGTGGGCCATTTTACCCAAATAAGGAAAGGCCTAGGTGCACAGTCAGTCGCAGAGCTGAGATTCAAGCCAGGCCATCTTGCTCCCGATTCCACACTCCCCCAATCTCCCAAGGGGCAAGTCCCCCTCTATCAGAGAGAAGCCTCAGGCAGAGGTAAAGGGACAAGGGACCTAGGTGAAGAAGACACCTCTGGGAGATCCCAAGAGAGGGGCTCTGAATCAGTCTGTCTCAGCGCTCTGAATCAGTCTGTCTCAGCGATCTCTTAGAGCACCTAGATTCAGAGGCCTGGCTTAAATCTGCTTAAACCCCAGCTCTGCCACTTGCTGGCAGACTGCCAGATCCTGGGGGAGACACAGGACGTTCCCGAGTCTCTTTCCTCTCTTGGAAATGGCAACTTTGCAAACTATAAACATCCACGCAAATGCACTTGGCAAATGAAAGCAAGAGGATAATAAATGCAAAGTCTGGTTCTTTGAAAGACTCAAAAAAAAAAAAAAATGGTCCCACGAGGTTGTTGCGGGGCGGGGGAGGAGGGGAGCACACAGATTTAAGATTCAGAATAAGAAAAGCCACAAAGAGTCTTTGGGCACTGTGACCTGTGGCCAAAAGGTCTCTAGAGGGCAGGAGTTCAAGGCTACAGTGAGATATGGTTGCACCACTGTCCTCCAATGCTGCAAAGGGCAACAGAGACCCTGTCTCTTAAAATAAAAGTAATTATGATTACATATTTTTAAAAAGAGAGTAACTATGTGGCAACAAATTTAAAAAGAAAAGCTAAAGGTAATATATTAAAACCTAGGTAAA